CAGTTGATACTGGCTTGGCTGGTTTTGTTAAAAGAATTATGGCCTATTATTTTTTATGGACCTTTATTTGTGCTAACATATGCATTTGAATTATACAGGCAGTTTGCTGGTTTCATTTGCATGAACATGCAAAAGCATTTTCAATTTTGGAAGGATTGTTTCAGAACATTGAACCAATAGACGAGGTAAACAATTACCGTAGATTCTGAAATATTAAAAATTCAAATGTACTTATTGACAAATGAATTTGCCCACAGGAAATAGCCAAGCGCATTTGCCTATTACTGCTGGATGTTGCTTTACTTGCTCGAAATGCAGCAAGATCAGCTGTAAGTCACACATGCAACTGTTTGTTCTCATAATTTTTTATCTTTTGATTTTTTATGCTGTCTTATCAATATCATCATTTACTTACTGCATTTGAAATGATCTTTGCAACAATTTATGATGGAAACTACTAGTTTTTTATTTAAGGAGATATTGATGATTATGGGGGTCTTAAATTAGGTCAAAATGTGATGATGTTAAAGTCATTAGTCTATTTGTAATTCTTATCAGTGATTGATTACTTAGTGGAGCTAGTGGTGTGCATTCGGTTTTGAAAAAAATGGTATCAATCCAAACCAAAAGAAACTAGGTTTGGGTTTATCTTTTATTTTTTCGGTTGTGTCATATGAGATAATATGGATCTAAAAGTAACATATTTGGATGACAAGAAAATTTATTTGAATTAGAAAAAGTTGATCACATAAATTTATTCTCATTCATAAACATGGCCAAACTGCCCGTATACACGGAATATACCAAAAGGTAAAAATCTATAAAATAACCATTTGAATAATGAGAAGTAATAATGTCAAATCTCTTAAATACCTCTTCTTAATTCAATTCACATGATTGTGAGTGAAATGATTAATTTGTGAACACCATTAATAAGAGTAGTACATTTGATACGATAGTCAATAAAGACTCACAGTCTTTTATTAAAGCATTAATGCAACAATCAAAAGTTTCTGATGTCACACTCCTAGTCTTTCTCATTTTGGTCAATGTTAGAAACATTGATGTTGTGATTTCCTATGATATTAAAGATGTGACACCTGTTTATGAACTGCTTCCCAAAGTTTGTATTGAGTGAGTTCACTCACCGAAGCAGCTGATGTTACTTCGAGATTTCCAGTAACAATTTAAAAAACAAGATCTGATATCCTTGTGAGAGACTGCCATTTACACTTGCTCTACTCTGTTTCTTTTTGGAATGACAATGGCGTTGAGGCCTCTGTCTCTAACCTACAATATATGGAATCAATTGACCTAGTATCATTTCTACTGGGTTACCATTTGTAATTGCTGTACCTGTTTTCTTCCTTTTGATAACTTCTTTCTGATATTGTTCCGAGTGAGTGATGCTAGGGGAATTGTAACGTGGTGAACTGAGAGTTATGTTTAACACACTTATGTAAAATATTGCAAGGTGGTGAACTTGAAGTTTTGGTTTAACACATTTATATGAAATATTGCAGGCTTTGATGTTTGTGATGGATGGTTTAATATCAGTAGTTTTGTCATGCACCTTCTTGCAGCTGTTGCAGTAGTTTTTGAAATGAGCTAGTGTGCTGCCTTTAATGGTTGAGACTAGTTAGTCATTGTTGTTAGTAATGATGTCAGCAGTAAGAAGGTGCTATTGTTACATCCAAAAAATTACTGGAGAGAGAATAACAGAAAAAATCTGATTGCCTGGACAAAAGATTCTATAAACTGTAACAGTGTTTAATCCTTCATTTGCCCAATCTAATCTGCAGCAAAAAGATAGCTTAAAACAATCAGATTTTACGTTCAGTACAGAGTTCTGTTCATCTTCAAAACACGTTCTGTTTCTTTCTTTCTTTCCATATGCACCACCAAATGCAAACAGGAAATGGATACAAACTCTTCTTTAACTTCTTGTTCAGAGCCTTTCTATGCCAGCACAGAAGAAAATCCTGAAGAGTTCTGTCATTATTGTTCTATTTAAAAGGTTGATTATTGTGGTTAATGCTCCATTTGTCGTTTTATTATTTCTATAGATAATTGAGATTGCTAATTTCATGAAGGGTAGTTGTTTTTGGTTTTTGTTTCCATTGTTGAAATTTTGCCTTACTTTTCCTAAGATGGTGGGATCTGTGTTGGAGTCTCATGTTTGTTTTCTAGGTCTAGTATATTGCTTCTGTTCGTTTTTATGTAGCGAGCTTTTTTTTTAAAACAATCTTTGTTGCAAACAGTTTAATTATGATTCTTGCTCCCAGGATGTGATCAGCTACGTGGAGAAGGTCTTTTGTAGCAGTAGTTTATTGAGTCAAGTTGACAGCGGAAACTCTGCACTGCCAACAGCTTCAGCCGTTTTGAAATCGGCTTCATTTCCCAGCAATTCAACTATTCCTGATGCATCTACTCCAGATTCACCTGCTGCTGGGATAACCTCTGAAGGCTCTTTGTCTAGGACATTATCAGAAGAGGGACTTGAAGATCTGCATTTAATATCATCCATGGAGATTGGTGGGCAGAACCTACCACGACAGTCTGGCTTGAAATCTTCAAATGATCCAACAAGGAACCAAGCTGACGAGTTTATCTCAACTGCTGATATGAGGATTAAACTGCACCTTTGCAAGGTCCAATTTCTTCTCCTCACCAGGAATCTTAAGGCAGCTAAGCGTGAAGTTAAGATGGCTATGAACACAGCACGGGGCAAAGATCATTCTATGGCTCTCTATTTGAAGTCCCAGCTTGAATATACTCGTGGGAATCACCGAAAAGCAATCAAGCTCTTGATGGCATCAAGTAATCGGGCAGAAACGGGAATTTCTAGCTTATACTACAACAACCTGGGTTGCATATATTATCGACTTGGCAAGCATCACACTTCTTCTGTATTTTTTGCCAAGGCTCTGAGTAATAGTTCATCTCTCCGGAAAGAGCGACCTTTAAAGCTCTCAACCATCTCTCAGGACAAGTCTCTTCTCATAACCTATAACTGTGGTATGCAGTACCTGGCTTGTGGGAAACCATTGCTGGCTGCAAGCTGTTTCTATAAGGCTAGTCAGGTTTTCCACAGTAGGCCTCTTTTATGGTTACGAGTTGCAGAATGTTGTCTAATGGCACTTGAGCAGGGACTGCTCAAGTCCAGTGGTGTTGCTGCTTCTGACAGGTCTGAAGTTAAAGTACATGTTGTTGGACAAGGAAAATGGAGGCAACTTGTTATGGAAAATGGATTATTAAGAAATGGACAAGAAAGTTTTTCAGGTAAGGAAGATTTGGCTACTAAGGATAGACAACTGAAGCTATCGGTACAACTTGCTCGTCAGTGTCTTCTGAATGCTTTGCATTTATTGAACAGTTCTGAATCAAAAGGTAACAAGTCCACACAGTCTCATGTTTCTGGTGTGGAAGAAAGTGAAACAAGAGAAGTAGTACCATCCAAGCATGGATCAACTGAACCTAAGTCACTGAACGTGCCAGCATCTGGTCAGGTTAATGCAAATGGGGAGGTGAAAGAGCAAAAGGGTACAAGCAGTCAGAATGCCGCCTTCTTGAATTCTCTCGGCGAGTATGAAGCCACATGTAGAAAAGAGAACCTGATGATTGAGCAAGCTGCATTGGCTGATTTGGCTTTTGTAGAGCTGGAATTGGGAAATCCATTGAAGGCTCTTACAATTGCACGATCTCTCTTGAAAGTCCAAGAATGTTCTAGGATATACATCTTTCTTGGTAATGTGTATGCTGCTGAAGCTCTATGCTTGCTGAACCGGGCAAAGGAAGCTGCAGAGCATTTGTCAACCTTTATCTCCAGTGGCAAGGATGTTGATCTGCCATTTAGTGAAGAGGATTCTGAAATGTGGAGACAGGAGAAAACATTGGAATCGGAAGATACTAATGTTGGATCAGCTGCTGTGAATTCCTTTCCTTCTGAGGAATCTCAAGCATTTGTGTTTGTTAAGCCGGAGGAGGCCCGCGGAATTCTCTTCACAAACTTAGCTGCCATGGCTGCTATGCAAGGAGACATTGAACAGGCTCAAACTTATGTTATGCAAGCACTATCGACAAAACCTCAACGTCCTGAAGCTATTCTTACTGCAGTATACTTGGATCTTCTGTGCGGGAAGACACAAGAAGCTCTCACAAAGTTGAAACAGTGTAGTCGTATTAGGTTCCTACCAAGCAGTCCGACGTTAAGTGGTTCATCGTGATGATTCATATCCAGCCCACCTTTCAGGAATGAGTTAGCAGGCAGGTAGTTCAGGAATCCCTTGATAGAGTATATGTACCATATATATAGCTCAATTCAGGAACAAGTTTTTTCGTTTTTTTTCGTCTTTCAAATGTCTATGATTTGCTGGTTTAGGTTTTCAGGAAGTGATGGGGTGGGGTGGGGGGGTGTTTTGTGGCTGAGATTAGTTTGGTTGTTGCAGATACATGCCCATCTTTAAAAGACTCGAGGTGTATTTTTCATACAGAGAGGAGAGACCCCGTCTAGTTCCCCTTTTAGAGATATATAGAGGTTCTATGAACTCCTATGAAAGATGAAACCATGAACTTAGAATTTCTTTCATAAAAGTCATTTTAAATCCCAACTTATGGGCTTTTTTTCCCATTATTACAGCTGCTTAATTTATTCAAGTTGCTATACATTCGAAAAGGTAAATATATTTTAACTATAGATGTGTAGGCAGATTTTATCCTTCCCGTGAAAAGGTAGAAAAATTACTTTAGATAGAGCCTCGACTCATGGAAAATTAAAATTTACGACATTCTCAATGGAGTCGTGTAGACTTTAAGGAAAAATATATCAAAAGAAATTCTAGGAAAAGCATAACAACATAGTGCAATTATCCAAGTTCAAAGGATAGTAGATAGTAACATAAGTTTCGAGTATAAGAAAAATATTATTTTCTAATATCAATCGATTAATTATAACTTTTACTTGAATCAATGTTTCTCTCCTAGTACGCATTGGATTTCAGATTTTCCTTTTTTTTTTTCCTAATCCTAATTATAGTAGGATTAATATTCCATAAATCCAACTAAAATATGGTCATAATTACGTCTACCTTTTTAACCTCAAATTAGACATCCCCTCACCAAATTTATTCCCTATATATACCCTTTAGAAACACAAATATTTGTCATAGTTCCAAAAAATTCTCAATTTTAAAAAATCTTGAAATTTTAACTAAGACATCATGAAGGTGATTGCAGCTTATTTGATGGCTCAATTAGGTGGAAACTCTAATCCATCAGCTAATGATTTGAAGAAAATATTGAATTCAGTTGGTGCTGAAATTGATGATGTGAAAATTGAACTATTATTATCACAAGTTGAAGGCAGAGATATTAATGAATTAATTGCTGCTGGTAAAGAAAAATTGGCTTCTACTACTTGTATGTCTTTTGGATATACAAATAATAATAATAACAATAATAATGCTAGTAGTGTTGTTGAAGAGAAAAGAGAAGAAAAGAAAGTTGAGAAAGTGGAAGAGTGTGATGAAGAAGATTTTAATTTTAGTCTTTTTGATTAGATGTTATTAGTTTTATAATTTATTGGTGTTACTTATAATGTATTAGTAGTTTTGTTGTTTTGATTATGTTCAAGTTTAATAAAGTTGTTTTCTTTTAATAAAAAATTATTATGTTTGTAGTTAAGTATCTTTTCTTCGGAGTTTCTTAGTTGTGGAGTATATGGGACGGATAGGATATTCGATGATAGCATTCTCTATTTTTCTCTATTTAAGTTTTGAAATTCGAAATTACTAATAAAAGAAAAAGCAACTCTATTCAATACATCACATTTTTCCATTGTCACGTACTTTTAATTTGATAGTAATAATTTCATAAAATTAATTCAAAAAACATTGGTGAAACGAAGGTTTGGAACTTTGTAGTACCTTTTTGGAGTTAGGTGTTTGCCCTAATTTTTTCCATTCTTTTTTATTATATTTGAATTTTCAAAGCAAATCGATCGAGCTAGTTGTGATATGTTAGAAGAATTTGAGTATATCACTTAGAGCATAAATATGGGATAGTGTGACACCCCTAAAGTTCTTTCAAGGCAAAAAAAGGGAATATATAAGTCGTTAGGAGGCATATCCGTCTCAGATAAACTATCCACCTCAGGGACCAAAGAACTAAAGGAGAAGAGTATTCCAATGCTTAAGAAGAGAAGATAATTTTAGAGCTTTCTCATGAATGATAAAACCTGATGTTTTTTTAATAGTACAAATTTCTTCCTGAAATTCACCAGCAAGTGCTTAAGAAAGAGAAAGCCGACTAAAAGACTATTCCATAACCGACTCTTATTAGCAAGTCGAGGAGGCTTGGCTGGTACTAGGCTCTAAAAAAGCAACATCCCTTGCATACTTTACCAAGTAAATAAATTGCCCAACAAAATCAGGTTTCACAAGTTGTTACAAAATACAACTGTTCTTCTCACAGACGCGATAACGGTCCATTGCTTCCATTTCCTTGAAGGAAAGGGTAATCTGTGTATCCCACAACTGGATCTTGAGTATAGAATGTCTTCCTGTTATACTTATTTAGAGGTGCATTTAGCTTGATTCTCATAACCAAATCAGGATTAGAGATGAAAAGACGACCATATGACACGAGATCAGCATCACCTTGTGCCACAGCCTCAATTCCTAGTTCCCTAGTGTATCCACCACTGCAAATGAATGTCCCCTGATACGCGTTCCTCAAAGTCCTCATTAAACGAGCCTCTTCCTCTTCACTGCCAAGTCTGCCTGCTTCAGTTTGCCCATATGCTACGTATCGTGGCTGTGTTACATGAAGATAGGCAAGCTTGGAACCAGAATGGAGTTGGATTTTGTTTAGTCTTTCAACAACTGCTAAGCCAAGGCTGAGTGGATTAGAGTCCATGGCATCAAGATGATCTATTGCTGGTGAAACTCTAACGCCTACGCGATCAGCTCCTATTGCTGAGACTACTGCTTGAACCACCTGTGTGATGAATTTGCACCGGTTGGCTAGTGATCCACCATACTCATCTGTCCGGTCATTGATCCCATCTTTCAAGAATTGATCAATCAAGTAACCGTGAGCTCCATGGATTTCAATACCATCGAAACCTGTATATATATGATTTTTTCTGGTGTTAAGACTAACACAGCACAACGAACCAAAAAGAGTGAAAACGAATTAGCAATAAACGGTATCTACCAGAACAAAAACTCTACTTTACCACGAAGGCCTGCTGATGACTTTTTCTAAGCTTCTATTCAGTATTACATGGCAAACCATGGTATTAGCAATAAGAGGGTTATTATCAGTACATGGATAAGCATGGTTAAAGACAAAACTGTCCTCAATACACCAAAAAAAAAAAAATCCTAGCCCAAGTAATGTCAACATTAATAATACATCGGCCTATTCAATACTATTCTAATACGGTCTGCTGAATGACACTTTACAGGATGAAATGAAGGTTCCGTTCTGGTTAACCTTTTTGTGAGCAGAAATAACTCAACTGTATGAACTTCAATACTTACACAATGAAAAAGATGTCATAGGATTTCAAACAGAGATGCCCATTGGTACATGATTTACATAAAGAATGAGCTAACCTGCTTCAATAGCATTCAAGGCCGACCTGCGATAATCTTCAACAACTTGTGAGATCTCATAGGTTCCAATTGCTCTTGGTTTTGGATAAATCCCATGAGTTCCATCAGGCATTAGAATTCTCCACCTATTTGATATAGGCTTCTCAGTGGATGATATTGGTGCAGCTCCAGCAGGTTGATACACTATAAGCATGAGCTTAGTAAGATAACTAATTCGAAACCTATGTTGCTCGAACTCTTAAATGTTGACTGATGCGGGTTTTTGGAGGATCCCACATGCATGGTGCAAGTACAACAACATTTTTGAAGAGTCCGAGCAACAGAGTTTGAAACTATTGACTTCTTTAAATGAACTGTCAAAGAGAAATGGAGATGAAGGGAGGAATGAACATGCAGTATTGCATTTTCATAATGAGGGAACAGTTATAAAAGTTTGCCCTTGATAGATAAAGAGAATAAAATGAGTTAAAAAGCAATGCATATGGAAAAAGAAATCTTCATAAGATGATGTTTGGACTAAACTTGCACACACAACTTGTATATTTTACCAGCGACCTTTTACCTTCCACAAGTGCATTCACCTATTCTCTGTAGAATGGTGTTGATTGGACTAGCTTGCACACATCTCGATTATTTCATCAAGTACTTTCTACCTCCGACCAATGCATCTAGACAACATTTTTCTTTATAACAATAGTGTCTAGACTAGCTACCGCATACCTTGACTATTTCATTGAGCATTCTTCTACCTCCCACCAACGCATCTAGACAACATTTTTCATTATAATGGTGGTATCCAAACTAACTTCACACTTCGACTATTTCACTGAGTACCTTCTATCTCATCGAACTAGTTACAATGCATCTAGACAATATTGAACATTCATGATCCTAACTTAGTGTAAATGTAACAACTTTTACCTTCATGAGATGCACGACCAACATGCCACAGCTGACAAAATATGACAGCACCCTTTGCATGCACTACATCAACTATTTTCTTCCATTCCCTTACTTGTTCCTTTGTGAAAATCCCTGGCACATGAGGAAACCTGAAAACCCCCACCACAAAAGAAATTATCAAGAAACTAATTTGATAATGATTCTTTTGGAGGTAAGACATATTTGCATGGGGTGTTCACATCGAACTAAGCAATTAATCTTAAAAATTAACAAATGAAAGTGTAAATTACATATTAATCATGTTTAAGTGTTAAAAGATGTATATGGGAAATATATCTTATATTAGGGGAATCAAGATTGAGATGATTGGGACATGTGAAGGGGAGGGCATAGATGCACCATTAAAAGAGATGTGAAAGATTGGTTTAGCAAGAATTAGTAGAGCTATAAGTAAGCTGAAAAAAGAGTTTAGGAAAAAAATATGATTAAACAAAACATAAAACATTTACATTAGCAAGGCCATGACCCTAAACTGATTATTTGAAGGTCAAGAATTAAAGCAGAAGGTTAGTAGATAACCAAGTATTATCAAGGTTGGCCCTCTTGCCTCTCATCTTCCCCTTGTTCTTACTAGTTCCTTCGAACACTACTTGTAGAATCACTACATTATTATTTTTTCTTACAAACACTACTTGTAGAATCACACTAAAATATGTTATTATCATTACTTGTAGAATCACACTAAATACGTTATTATCATTATTTGTAGAATCACACTAAATACGTTATTATTATTACTTTTAGAATCACACTAAATACGTTATTATCGTTCTAACACTTGTATTGCTTTTAACTTTTAACCTTTCATGTTATTTTTAATAAAATATTATTTATATCCACACAAAAATATTTATAACTTGATTTAAACTAATAATTTTTGAAGTGTTGATCTTTTTATTAAATACTAAGTCCACGTGATTAGGCAGATTCAAAATTTTACGTTAAACCCAAAAACTTTTGCTCACTACCTGTATAAGTTATAATTTATAAATTTCACTAAATATATAAATATTTAATTATAAATTTGATTATTATATAAATAAATTTAAAAGAAACTTCAATATTTAATGATTATGATACACATGGGAGTGAAAAAATGACACACAATAGGGACCCACAAAGTTCCATTAATTAATTAATTAATGATTTGACTATACTATTAATACACATGTAAAGAAACTATACTTTTTTTTAATGGTATAATGTGGGACCCACAAGCATCAATAATTGACTACTCTCTTACCGAAAAAGCCCCTAAAATGTAATCAAATTTGCAAACGCATACCCAGCTGAAGTCGGAGAAATCATAGTGCCTTCAGTGATCAGAAATCCACCGGCCGTCGCTCTCTGCTCGTAATACTCCCCTAGCGCCGCCTGTGGAATATTATTCAGTGCTCTGCACCTTGTCATCGGAGCCAATACTACCCTGCCACGTGTCAAACAACCGTAAATATTTTGTTCCTCCATTCACAAACTTAAGATCGGAGGTGAAGGTGACCGTAAATATGATCCCATCTCAAGGGTAAAATCGTCACAATAAAAATCCACTTCCATTTTTGATACAACTTTTTTCTATTCTAAATACAAAAAAAATAGCAAAATCAGTAAAAAAAATTAGGATCTTATAATGGAAAGTTGCAGATGACCCATAAAAAAAAGTATAGAGTAAATTTTGAGATCCAAATATAACTAAAATCTTCGATTCAACTGTGAAGTGAAAACTAACCTGTGGGATAGATTGAACTTGCCCATCTTGTAAGGAGAGAAAAGGGGATTGTTTCCATCTTGAGCTGAAGACGCCATTGTTGTTTGAAAGAGGATCTGTAGAACTGAGAAGAGAGAAGAAGAGTGAGTTTTGAAGATGACGAGATACAGAGAAAAAGGTGTGTTTTAATGGTGAAAGATAAAAATGGACGGCGATGAATGGTGGACTGTGGAGGTCGTTTTCGTGGAACTTGGGAATTTGAAAAATACACATTCTTCATGTGAATGTGAAGAGATGTTGAACATGACTCTCAATTATATTCTAAATTTTATTTTATTTTTTCACTTGAGTTAATATTGTATTGTTAGTTTAAATTTAATATCTTTTATGATGATATTTTAATTTTATTGTATAATATAATTATTAAGTAATGATAAAAAAAAATTATTTTATATAACAATTGATTTTAGAAAAAATTATTTTAATACACAACCTAACTGCCAACGTGAGTATTGAGAAGGAGAGGAAGAATGTGCCTTTTTCTTCAAAAGCGAAGGTTGAAAAATCCCCTAAACAGGGGTATAAACATGTCATCTTCAATTTTCCGTCCTAATCTACTTAAGGTGATAAGTTCTGATCTATATCTGTATTTTTTATGTTCAATCTTCAATTTAATTTGAATTCATGATACATTATTGATAGAATATCAATATAAATTGTTGTTATCATTTTTGAATGTATCACTATATATAATTTATTTTAATACATAAAAATCTAATTTTCAGTAAGATTTCAATTGAATTAATTATATATCAGTACTAACATATTACATATATGATACAAAATTACATAAGTTGTTCTCAAACTTTTTATTTAACTGATACAAAAAAATCAATTGTTCTTTTTGATGTATCAATGTGTAAATATTGTTGTAACAGACTGAATTATGTATTATTCTCAACTAAAGATATATATTGTGTTGTAAATTTTTTATTCAAGTATCAATCCCAATTTATTATATATAATACATAATAAATAATTTCAAATCATTTTTTATTAAAAAAATAATAAATAATTTCAAATTTTAATTTTATCTCACGTAATTAAACACGTTTTCAAAACAAATGTTTGGAGCATTGTTATTGAAAATTGATAATAATGTTTTAAACATGTATTGTGTATGGTCAAGTGGACGGCGCCTCAAACTTCCCGTATGGACACAACCCACAAAGACGTTACTCATTGCTCTCCCCATCTTATTTTATATGACGTAATTTAATTTAACATATAATTTTTTTAAAAAAATAAATTATTAAAATTTGTGATTTAAAAATAAATATTTATATAACTATAAATCATTTTATTAACAATAAAATAAATATTCTATAATTAAATTATCAATTTATATATAAATGTGTTATTATTAGGATTTATTAAAAAGAAAAATAAATACTAATATAAATTGAAACATATGGAGTACAATTTATTTGGCCTTTCGCTAATAGAGTAATATCAAATCGATTTGAAATAGTATCTTTCTAGAATCGATCAATAAACGTGATCCTTAATTTAGATTTAGGGTCTGTTTGGATTAACTTTTGACTTATGACTTATAATAAGTAAAGCAAGTCATAAGTTGAGATTTCTAACTTATGAGTTTTGATTTATTTTTGTTATTTTGACTTTAAAATAAGTATTTATAATATAAACATTTTTCAACTTTACTCAAATACTTTAAAATTGCTTAAAAGTTATTTTAGTTTAAAAACACGAGAAAAGACATAAAGACACCATTGAAGTTGTCTCATATTTGCATAAAGACACCTAAACTTTTAAAGTGTCCTATAACACCACTAAACAACTATATATCGTTGTAATTTGACCATTTTTACTCATTCCGTCGTCTATGTAATGCGCGTGTTGCTCACTCTCTAGGTAACCCGATCAGATCTTTTTTTTTTTGAAGAAAATTCGGGAACTCCTTTTCATTTCATTTCTCAACTTTTCCCTAAAAGATCAAACGAAATACACAGTGTTGTTGTTGACAATCTCGTTGTTGATCATTGTTGATCGTTGTTGATGTGTATTTGTGAAGATTCTTGGAGATTGAAGGTCTAACATGTTAGGGTTCTAAAATCTTCACTTTTTTCGATTATTCTGATTTTATGGATTATTAGTGTAGAAGTGTTAGAATCGACCTCCTACAGTTGCCATTGTTACAAATACGATTCAACATTCCATTTGACATTTTCAATCAAAAACTAACCACAAAATTGAGAAGAAATTCAACCATAAAAAAACTTCAAATTAACGTTTATACTGGAAATTAAAAGAGAAAAGACGAATTCCTACCTTATTTTCTTGAGGAAGATGATGAAGTCGTCAAAAAGAGAGAATCAATATTGTTCTTGCCATGAAAATCAAAATTTTAAGGCTACCAAAGGCTATTTTTGAGTTTAAATTGGGGAAGATACAAAAATTGATTAAACAATTAATATTAAAGAAAGAAAATGACATGTGGCTGTTTTAAACTGGTAAATAAAAAGGAAAAATGGCCCATGAGGCGCCTAACGTGCGTGTAGACAACCCAGATGAGTTAATGGGTAAAAATGGCTAATTTACAACGATATATAGTTGTTTAGTGGGGTCATGGGACACTTCAAAAGTTTAGGTGTCTTTATGCAAATATAAGACAACTTCGATGGTCTCTTTATGTCTTTTCTCTTAAAAACACCTAACATAAATCAATCCAAAAGAACACTTAGGCTGTTATATTTGTATCACAGATGCTCTTCTTATTACCAGTATCTTTTTTTCTATTTCCTATTTTCGATTTTTGATGTTTTGATTATGATTTCGATTAACTTAAATTTATATTGTTTAAAGCCTATCTTTTTTTTTATAAAAAAAAAAACAATTTTTAATTTAAAAAATTGTATTCAAAAATCAAAATTGAAACTTATAATTAAAGGTTAGTGAATGCAATAATGTTCTAACCGTCCTCTTATGACTATGTTCCACTATGGTTATGTGTTGCTACGAAAGAGAAAATATTTTCTAAGGAAAATAACTATATTTTTTAATATTTAGTACATAAATAAAATAATATTATTTTAAAATTATTTATATATTAACTTACAAATAAATAACTACAAATAAATAAGAGAAGAGAGTCTGATATATTCCTTAACTTTGTCATTTAGAGCACACCTTTTTATGAAAGTGGCTGATATATACCCTTTTCCTCTGACAGAAATAAAAAAAATAATTTTAATCTAATTTTTTATTTTTTTTAAAAAAAAACTAATGCCATATGAGTAAATTTAAATCTCGTCAAACATATTATTTTGACTTTTTTGTTTCAATGACTAATTTAGAATTATTATTTTGATAATCAAATTTATTTCTGTTTCACTAATATTCTTGTAAAACTTATTGTAGATGACAAAACTTTTTTCTTCGAATGCAAAAATCAAATTACAATATAAACAAAAAAATTAGTTTAATTTTTTTTTCTTTAAACAAAGGAATGAAAGAAAAAAAATAAGAAACTCAAATAATTATAATAAAAGAAGTCAAAAAATAATTTATGTATGAAGAATCATATATACCCCTAAATAATTTTTTTTAAAAAAATTAAAAATATAAATTTAGAACTAATTTTTTAACTTTCGTTAAATAAAGAGTATATGTGAGCTCATTTTGTAACGGTAGAATTATATGTGAGTCGTTTATATTACGATAACGAAATATATGAGTCACTTTCATAACGAAAAATATATCAACTTTAAATAGCAAAATTAAAAAATATCGGACTCTTTTCCAATAAATAAAATCGAATGAAGAGTGGGGGATTCGAGGGTTGGGTGGGTAGGGTCGCCAATAGACTTTGAAATGACATATTCTAAATTTATTTTCATTAAAAAAACATTCTTTCATTTTGAGACAGATTATTTTCTAATAATAATATTTTTAAAATTAAGAATAATCAATCAAAATGATAGAATTGAAAAACACTATTTGAAAATTGTATTCCTCCGTACAATAATAATTTTATTTAAATGTTCCACAACTAATAATAATAAGATTTGAGATATATATAAATCTTATTTCTATTTTTATTGGATAGAAAACTAATTTTCGATAAACATTCAAAAACTATATATAGAAAACAATACGGAAAAATATTTGGAATATATTCGAATTTTAATCGAATTGCTGCAATAATATCAAACTTTAAAAAGAATATTTTACTACATACACCATATAGTAGTATATTTTAATGTGTATATATATCTACGTGAACATCATAAATATTACATCATTATAAATGATAACGTGTCCACTTGGACAAATATATATCTTTAAAACACAATATTATATAATGCAACAAAAGAGATGAAAAATTCTTCATAAAATTTAATTTCATAATAATAATTTTATCCAAAATTAAAATATTTTTCAAACTCTTTATCAAAGCACTATAATTAATTCCCATAAACTATTTATAGTTCTAGATAAGACAAAAATTAACCCTAGTACCAATACACAAGATAAAAGTTTGTTGATGTTGGGAAAGTAAAACAAATGACCAATATTAGCTTAAGCACTTGTCAAAAAAATGAAAATTGTTATTCCTTCCATCTCATACTTTATTAGTTTGTCCTTATATATGTCATAATAATTTTTATTATATTAAAAATATTGAATTATACTAGTTCAATTTAAACAATAAAGAGATAATTTATCTTTTATATTTGTTTTATTGATAATATTAAATATTATTTATTATCTAACACATTTTTAAAAGTATTTAAATTTAATAAAGTCAAAGGACAATATAGTAATAAAAAAAATTATCCAGAAAATTTGATTAGAATTTGACAAAATAGTATCTTATCTATGTTATTTTATCTTTTTGAACATTTTTATCCTTCTAACTTAAGTACATTTTAACTAAAAATGAAATAAAAAAATATTTTAGTTTTTAAAATTTCTGGCCAAATTTTTCGGTCATTTAGCATCACTCATTAGTAATATATCCCTATTATTTATTATTTCTTTAAGAGTGTGTCAAGTTAATAGTGAAAATTACTATTGCACGGATAGACTATTACTAACATTATTAAAAAATTTAAAATTTATCTTTCTATGATAAACTTTGTACCCAATCAAATCACACAATTAAAACAAAAAAAAAAACTATATACTAAAAAAACAATGTTTTACCCTATTTGCATTTTGCTTCTTTTTCTTGATGAAAGGGATACAATTGAACTCCTTTTG